TCTCTCTCTCTCTCTCTCTCTCTCTCTCTCTCTCTCTCTCTCTCTCTCTCTGTCACTCTCTCTCCCTCTCCCTCTCTCTCTCTCTCTACATATATATATATATAGTATATGTATATACATATAGTATATATATGCATATTTTATATTCATGTATATTCATGTCCGTCCCTGCATTTCCGTATTTTTCTTAGAGTATCTTTCTCTCTTTGTGACTCCTTTCCTTTTTGTGCGTCTTTCTTACTGTTTTTATCTTTGGACGTCTGTCATTTTCTGTCTCTCTTACTGCCAGTATCTCTTTTCTGTGTCCCTCTGTCTCTGTATATATATATTATATATATGTATCTTTGTCTTTCTCTTTCTTTTCCTATCACTTTCCTTTTCTGTCCTTCTCTTCCTTCTTGTCTCTGTCTTTCCTTCTCTCTCAGTCTTTTATTTTCATGAAAATTTCGTAATATTCTTAAAGACGAACGGCAGCATCGCCACTTTTTGTGTGCAATGGAACAGCCGCTGAATATAGAGAGGCTACTTCTCTCTAGATGGTGTTGAGAGCGTGAGAAAAAGATATTAGAGGAGACAAATGGTGTTGTATGAATTGATAAAAACAATAATAAAGGCGTCTCTAAGAAGACAGGCAATGCTGCTAGACATCGCAGGAAGTGCGGTGGTGATGTGTTGGGAAGAGGAAGCAACTAAGAAATACAGAATAAAATAACTTGCATGAGACTGCATGTATCCGTGCATGCATGCATGCGAAACTCCTTTGCTTCCTCCTCACTTTCAAAAATACAGAACTTCGCCATTACAATTGATTAAAATCTTTGTCTTTTAAATGAATAAAACATTGAATTTTAAACGAACACATATTAGAATATTTGATTAATTAAATATTTAATATTTAATGCATTCAACTTTGCCTCGTAAGTGGCAATTCAACAAAAGAACGATACGAAGAATGCCGCTTGTGTTCAGCTTTATCCACGAGCACCAAAGCAGTGAAAAAGCAGCTAAATATCTTTACACATGTTACACAAGCAATAAAGATAAAAAATTCATTTATTTGCTGCTCTCTTGTTCAATCCGCCAAGGACTTTACATACATCTATACAAGACTTGCTGTTCAAGGCAGCGCCGTGCACAGCAAACAGTTTATGCATGACTTTGCTACGATACCTGCAGGTATAAAAAACAAAAGAGGATATAACCCCATGGAAATGAGTACAGATAAATGAACATGGCTTTCGCCTTCTAATTAATAGAATTCAAAGCGCCGAGGCCCCTTTCAAATGACCAGAAGGAATTTCCTTTTGTCCTCTCTGTTCGCTGCGTAGTTCAAAAAACTTTAAAGAGAGTCAGATGTATTTAAATCATTACACTGAAATGCTCGAAAACAAACTGAAGACTGTGTAGACTCCAGGAATACGCTGGGGGTGCCTTCTCTGCACGCCTCACATTAACGTGGCTATTGTACATCTCTGCACACCTGGCACCAAAATGGGTATTCTACCGCCGTAGACAATGAAATTCAAGTGTCACTGCTGTACAATTTCAGAAATTAATGACAATTTCCAGTTTCGCACAGCAGCATTTCCTCGCATTAACCCCTGTGCAGAAATAGACAGGCGGCGAGCGCGGGAGGGCACCCTCAACCGACTGCAATGTGGTGAAGGCCGGCTGCCTATTTTGCAGATGGAACAAATGAATTTTCTTGAAATGTGTTTAAATAAACCTTTAAGGAGAAGAAAGCAGTAGACAAGTCCTCAAAAGGGCGCAAACCTGTGCATACCATAGTGTGGGGGAGTATAATTCGGATATAGGAAGGCTGCTCTCTTTTTCCTCTATATGTTTGAGGTTCGTTCTTTTATTTGTTTAAATGAAGTAAAATGAAATGTACAAGTAATCTGTTTTGCTCCTCAGTGGAGTTGTGGCGGCTGCCGGTGCCTTCTCGCCGCATGCAGGGTAGGGAAGCTCGTTGTGCGTTTGCAGTGGCGGCTGCAAGCTGATCTATGTTTGTGGCTTTTCCCCAAAGCGGCGTTAGCTTGGGTATTTGCGCAGACGTTCATTTTAAACCATTTCAGCTCATGGACAGCTGAAAGGCGGAGCTGCATAGCTCAGGACCGCCACCGCAAGGGAAGCGGCCGGCCGCCTTGAATTGGTCGTGGGTACTACAGTATTACCTTATTTTGGGGGGATATCTTTGTTGGGTTTAAATTGAATTGTATTAAAAAGGGGCTTTCGATCGGGTCTACAGAAAATAGAGCCACGGATGCTTAGGAGCTGCCCCGCCGGTTTCCGCTGGGGCTGTGGACTCTGATCGTACTTTCTCTGTTGCGACAGCAGCCACCACCTGAGCGCCTCTCCTCTCGTCTCTTCTTTTCTCTCGTCCTTCACAATGGAGAACGGGGACAGCCGCGGCGGCCGCTCCTCCGGCAGCAGCGGCAGCAGCAACAGCAACAGCAACAACACGGGCAGTCAAGCTCCATTGACGTCTAAAGGTGCCTTTGATTCGCATCTGTACGGAGAGACCCCGGTTCATCAGTATCTTTCTGAAATTCCAGCAGAAGATGAACAGCCTACACCACTGGGCGCCGCCTTTGGGGAGGACCCGCATCAGGCTCGGGGCGGCGGAGTAGACTCAGTGAGTCGGCTTGTAGAAAGTGAACGGAGAGCCATGCTGGCATCGTCAGGGGGTGATGCAGGCGATGCAGCTGCTCTGCTGGAGAGGAGAGCAATTGCAGCTAGAGAGGATATGTACAGGAGGCAACGCTTCCAACGCGCGCTCTCCCCAGAGAGGCAAGACCCATTTGCTGCTGACGGGGGACGCCGAGCTGATGTTAGCGCCAGAAGCTACGCAGATGTCATGGTGGAGCAGCAGCTGGATAGAGAGAAACAAGCAGCAGTCAAACAAATCCGGAAGCTGCAAGAGGACGCGGCGATCGCGCAGCAGCTGCTGCAGCAGAGGCAGCAAGAGGAAGCAGCAGGTGGTGCTGCTGCGGGAAAAAGAGGCAGGTGGGACGGAGATCGCCAGCTGACAGAGGCGGAACGCATGTCGCTGCAGCAGCAGCAGCAGCAGCAAGGTGCAGAGGGCGCAGCAGCAGCAGCAGCAAGCCTTGCTAGCCGCTGGGACACGCCCCTTCAAGCAGGTGGGCAGGCGCCTGGCTGGGGAGACACTCCAGTTGCTGTAGCAGGAGAAGCAGCAGCAGAAACAGCAGAACAAAAGCCAAAGAAGAGGAGCAGATGGGATGCAACTCCGGCACAAGGAGGCACTGGCCAGGTGCGCATGCACGCATGCACCCACTGCATGCATACACCCATACACCCCAACCCTCTTCTTTTTCCAATTTCTCAGCTTTTGTGCCCTTTGTTGCATTTGTTTTCCCCACTTAATAAAGCACAGAGCCACGAGTCCTGTTCCAGCTTGTTACAGGTTGCATGCATGCATGCATGCATGCTTGCTGCATGCGTGCATGTTTCTTGCATGCATGTATGTGTGCATGCATGCATGCATGCATGCACGCATTCTTGTTCTTCCCCCCCCTGTCTGCAGCAAAACCCGCGGTACGTGAATCTGTTTCCTCTGCTTGTTTTTCTTTTGTTCAGGAGACGCCAACTCCTGGGCAATGGGGAGCGACGCCATTGGTGGCGGGAGTAGGGGGTCAGACGCCTTTAGCTATGAAGAAGAAAAGCCGTTGGGATGCAACTCCAGTGCCTGGGGGTGAGGAGGGATCGGGTGTGGGGTCTGCGATGGCAACTCCACTCACGGGAGCACGACTTGCAGACGGATCGGATGCGGGCCTGGCGACTCCGGGGCTTTCGCAGACACCTGGAGCGACACCAATGACCTCAGGATTAACACCAGGAGCAACTCCGCTCGCCATGACAGGTAGACCTTGTGCTGCGGCTGTTGTTGCTGCTATCGCTGCTGTTGCTGCAGCTGCTATTGCTGGGCTGCTAGCATTGCTGGTGCTGCTAGCATTGCTGGTGTTGCTGTCGCTGGTGACGGTGGGGAAGCAGGGGTTGCTGCTGCTGGTGGAAGAGGGCGTTGTTGGTTTGGGGTTTGAGGGGTAATGGGTATGTTGGCTTGCTTGTGTGTTTGTTTTGCTCTTGTTTAGGTCTGGGGGCCACTCCTATGACGCCTGGGACCCCGTTGCAGACACCGGAGCAGCTGCTTGCTTTGCGTCTGCAGCAGGAGTTTGATGAAAGAAATCGATATCTAACAGATGAAGAGCTGGACAGAATTATGCCAACAGAGGGTTATGAGGTGGTGCAGCCGCCGAGTGACTACAACCCGCCTCCAACCTCGGCAGCAGTTGCAGCAGCGCGAGCTCGCCAGCAAGCCTTGGCAGCCTCGGGGATGGGGCCTGCAACCCCAGGTGTATCTTCAGCAGCTACGCCCCTAGGCGTTACGCCCATGTACGTCATGCCTGAGGAGGGCGGCATTTCTGTTAAAGCTGTCGACCCTACAGGCTCACTGTTGGACCCGCAAGGGCTAGGAGAGGCTTCAGGAGGCGTCCAAATGAAGGCTGAAGACTTCCACTTCTTCTCGAAACTCTTTGAGGAAAAATCAGAAGATCAAATGACTCAAGAGGTAATTAATGCACAGCTATTCAAATACGGGGTTTGTTCTCAACCAAATGCAGCCTAGCAAACTCGCAAGTGATGTTTTGCCGTATGGAGGCGGAGAGAGAGGGGGGCAGACGCTGTTTGGGCTGCTCGCTTGGTTTTAAGTTGCTACGGTGTACATACAGCTGGTTAAATACTGGGTTCTTATAATGGTTTTTATAATGGAGTTTGTGTATGTGTGTGCGTGCATGTGTGTGTACGTTCTGAAAAATGCAATGAATTGGTTGTACAGGAGGTGAAGGAGAAGAAGATTCAACTTTTGCTTCTGAAGATCAAGAATGGCACGCCGCCTCTCCGTCGTTCTGCCCTGCGTATTTTGACGGACAAGGCAAAGGAGTTTGGCGCCGCTGCGTTATTTAACCAAATATTGCCATTAATGATGCAGACGACTCTGGAGGATCAGGTGGGTGGGATTTGCTTTCTGGGGTGTATGCACATTTGAAAGTGGCGTCTAGCGGTAGTGTTGACTTGGAGTTTGCGTTTTCAGCTTTGCATTTTACGGATTGTCTGTTTTTGTCGGCGTGTGAATTCGTAGGAACGCCACTTACTGGTGAAAGTCATAGATCGCGTGTTGTACAAATTGGACGACTTAGTGCGGCCCTACGCCCACAAGATCTTGGTGGTTATTGAACCTCTTTTGATTGATGAAGATTACTACGCGCGTATTGAGGGCAGAGAAATTATCAGCAACCTCGCAAAGGCTGCAGGGCTCGCGACTATGATCGCCACTATGCGCCCGGATATTGACCACCCTGACGAATACGTGCGAAATACAACAGCCAGGTACAATTTGGGTCTTGCACTTTTGCTTACGTTGGAAAGTGGAATAACTGGTGGATTGATTAAAAGGTTTTGGCCAGCTGTAGAGGCGTCTTCGGATGTATGTAGAGGCGTACACCTACGCTGCTCTGTCTGATGTCGTGTTGGTGCTGCAACCGGCCTGCTTGTGCAAGCTCAGAGGAGTGTAGCGCATTAAGTGGAGAGGGGGGACCCAAGCTGAATGGGATGTGCATACACATGCGGCCCGTCTGATGCGTTGTAGCTGGTGTTTCATTTGAGCATGGGTGTGTTGCGTTTGGTATGTCGTTTCAGGGCGTTTGCTGTTGTGGCGTCTGCTTTGGGGGTTCCGTCTTTGTTGCTTTTCTTGAAGGCGGTTTGTCAGAGCAAGAAGTCGTGGCAGGCTCGGCATACGGGTATAAAGATAATTCAGCAGATAGCCATTCTTCTGGGTTGCGGGGTGTTGCCTCACTTGCGTCAGTTTGTTGAGATTATTCAACATGGCCTGGACGACCCGGTGCTGAAGATCAAAACGGTGACTGCTTTGGCGTTGGCTGCGCTGGCTGAGGCTGCAGCCCCGTACGGTATTGAGGCATTCGATTGCGTGCTGCGTCCTCTGTGGAAGGGGATAGGTGAAATAAAGGGTAAAAGTTTGGCTGCGTACTTAAAAGCCATTGGGTCTATTATACCCCTTATGGACGCCTACCACGCCAGCTACTACACGCGGGAAGTTATGGTGATGCTGGTGCGGGAGTTTGAAACAAACGATGAAGAAATGAAAAAAATTGTCTTAAGAGTGGTCAAGCAATGTGTAGCGACAGAGGGTGTAGAAGGAGAGTATATCCGCACCGATATCATACCCCCTTTCTTCTCGAAGATGTGGCTCGTTAGAAACGCATTAGATCGGCGCACTGCCAAACTGCTGACAGAAACTGCCACCGAATTGGCTTCGAAGGCTGGTGGGGCTCACGTGATTAAGTTTATTGTTGACGACTTGAAAGACCCAAGTGAACCGTTCAGAAAGGCAACGCTTGAAACTATTGAACAAATAATTGTGAACGGGGGCGTTGCAGACATCGATGGCAGGCTGGAGGAGCAGTTGATTGATGGCCTGCTCTACGCGTTTCAAGAACAAACCACAGAAGATACCGCAGTGCTTCTGAACGGGTTTTCAACAATCGTGAATGCCCTAGGCACCCGCGTGAAGCCCTACTTGCCTCAGATTTGTGGTGTCATTCGTTGGAGGCTGAACACCCCGTCAGCCAAACTACGACAACAGGCAGCAGACCTCGTTTCGCGTATTGCCACGGTAATGTTCAAAAGTGGGGAGGAGCAGATGTTGGGGCACTTGGGTCTGTTTTTGTACGAGTACCTCGGAGAGGAGTACCCAGACGTCTTGGGAAGCATTCTGTGCGCACTCAAGGCTATAGTAAACGTAATTGGCATGAACAAAATGACACCTCCTATCAAGGACTTGCTGCCGCGTCTGACGCCTATTCTCAAGAACAGACACGAAAAAGTGCAGGAAAATCTCATCGACCTTATTGGACGTATCGCAGATCGTGGGGGCGACTTGGTGTCGCCGAAAGAGTGGGATAGGATTTGTTTTGATCTTTTAGACTTACTGAGGGCGCAGAAAAAGAGTATTCGAAGAGCCACTGTGAACACCTTCGGGTACATCGCCAGAACCATCGGGCCGCAGGATGTGTTGGCTACTCTCCTTAACAATTTGAAAATGCAAGAACGCCAGCTGCGTCTGTGCACGACTATCGCTATTGCCATTGTGGCGGAAACCTGTCTACCGTATTCCGTGCTGCCTGCACTTATCAACGAATACCGCGTGCCCGAACTCAACATTCAAAACGGTGTGCTCAAAACTCTCAGCTTTATGTTTGAATACATCGGCGAAATGGCTAAGGACTACATCTACACGGTCACACCGCTGCTAGAAGATGCTCTTATGGACAGAGATCTCGTCCACAGACAAACAGCAGCGTGGGCGTGCAAGCACCTTGCTTTGGGTCAGTTTGTCCACAACTCACCCCTACGTTTCTGTGCTACGGATATTTGCACTTGGAGGTCGAAGCTGGCAGCAACACCAGCGCATCAACCTCAGTTCTTCGTAATACTAGTCATGCATAACGTAAAGCTGTTGGTGCTGACGCTGTGAAGACGCAAGTGCGTTGTGCGTCCCTCAGGAGTGCACGGACTGAGCTGCGAAGATGCGCTGACACACTTATTTAACTACGTGTGGCCAAACATATTCGAAGTGTCGGCGCATATGGTTCAAGTGAGTCATCTTATTTCATTTTGCCCATTCCCGGGAGGGATTTGAGGTGTAGCTCTTGGCCAACCAGTGCAGTACAGGGGAGAACTTGCGGATTCGTTGTTTCGGTTCTTTCGTCGTATTTTTAGGCATTTTTTGATGCTGTCGACGGCATGCGCGTTGCCATCGGACCGGGTGTTGTATTTCGATACGTCATTCTCGGCCTGTTCCACCCCGCACGCAAGGTAGGCTCGTATATCGGAAGCTGTTTCGTGTAGCCTAGCTTGAGACCCCGTTTCCTTAATCTGGCCGCAGTCTCCGATAAATCCTAAACCCACAGTTGATGCGTACGAAGGACAGTCTCTTGCGAGCACATCAGAAACAGTGCTATTTCTCTCATTCGTTCTCATGTAGGGGATATATGTATACATGTATATATTTGCTTCTGCTGCCATGTGTTCTGCGCAGGTGCGCGAGGTGTATTGGAGAGTGTACAACACTGTCTACATCGGTCATCAGGACGCAATGGTGGCGTTTTACCCCAAGCTACCGGACGACGGAAAGCACTCCTTTGCGCGGCATGAACTAGAGTTGTTTATATGAATATACGTTTGAATTTAATTATTGTCAGCTGTGCTGCGCGACCAGGAGGAGCAGCAAGCTGCTGCTGAATGCAGGCGTTTCGGCCTATCATTTGCTGCGTGAATGATTCCCCAGTTTCGTTGGTTTGCCCCTTCCGCGCAGCTGGGGGTGATGTCCCAGAATCCTGACGTCTACCTTAGCAATCTTGGCGAGGACGGAGCCACCGCTTCGTTGGCATCAAGCATCGAGTGCGCACATGCATGGATCTCATCACATCATACCAACTGAATCCGGTCATTTTGCGGTGCTCGCCTTCACCAGTGGCAGAGGTGTGGGCAGCGATATCTCCGCTTTGAACCTTTTTGGCTGACGAGGGATGCGAGTTATGACAGGCAGTGGGAAGTGGTTGTGGAGGGGTCGCTCGTGAAAGTACATATATGGCTTGTTTAAATTTAAAGTTCTCACTGCGCAGGGGCAGAGAGCGTAAAAACGGCAAAACTTACCGTCACCAAGTGCCATTGGCTCGCATACGCGTTGGCAAAGCAAGGATAGGCGGGGCCAGTTCCATGTACATGTGTGTGCCTTTGGTGTGGTAAATGCTCATTAAGAAGCATTTTTATTTTGCACCACTCGCGTGTACACAACGGCACTTGAACTCAACGACCTCTGCCGGCGTTCAAATCAAATGCGAACTGCAATAATGATGATAGCCGCGATCAGAACAATAAGAAGAAGAACTGTCAGCAAGCAGCACCCCATTGAAGTTGCCCTGAGCAGCACAGGTTCAAACCACGAGCCATTCATAAGCACGAGTGTGCACAGATATTGCCCTAGTGACTAAAGCAAGTGCATCTAAGGTCTGTTGATGGTGTGCCTTGCACAACTCACTGTATAAGGGCGCACGTTTGCTTTCCAATAACTAATGTTAAATACCCCACGGGATCCTGAATACCCAGAAAACCGCAACGGTGTGTGGAGGCGCCGTAAGAAACGCCAATGCTAGCGGAATTCTATCCCCCCCCTAGACCCTGACAATTGCACTAAGAAGGCACCAGGGTGTACGGCAACGATGTATAATGCCGCAGTGCATCTCACAGTCAACATCATATTAGGCGACGGGCGGTCTGTTGGCTCCGGCAACGGCTCCGGCGCAGCGCGACCTGCGCCCACTGGCTGGGCGTCCGCTTCTCTCTTCGGTAGCAAAGAGACGGTGCAGTGAAGCGTCGTGGGCCCAGATAGAAGCCTGAGGAACAAGAAGGCGCAAGGTCGCCAACGGCAGTTAGCACACCGTTAGCAGCCACTGACACGCGAGTGAATTATTGGGTGCTTCATTACGCGACACTCTTCCGTTAGTAGAGTCTCTTCCAAAAGTTTCTTCAAATCTTTCTATTTGAAGAGACCTAGAAACAGACTTTGACAGGCCTGCATGAGAGCTACAGCGCCCAGTAGTTTTTCATATTGCTCAGGGGGGAGGGACTTTAAGTGCATAACGAACCTTCCCAGGCGGCGGCGTTTGGCCTGGCGTCCGCAACAGCAGTAGCCGAGACAGCAGCAGAGGGCGACGGACTCATCATTGTCTTCCAAAAAGTTTCCACGCACTTCTCGCCGGTTGCAGCAGCCCGTCACAGCCGGGGGACATCCCATGGCTTCGTAGGGGGCACACCAAAAGGCCTGGCACCAGTGCTCAACCCTGATGACAGCCAAAAGACAGCTACGCAAAACCACTGTTAGCTGCTTCATTCCAGGTCCCAGGTGGGGATCCAGGAGAACACTACAAATCCGTGTTATCTACGTGATCTTCACAGAGACTGAGTACAATTTGCAGAGAAGTAGCTGATGCTGCTCCAGACGCACATGCCGGCCCCCAAAGGGTCCTCGAATACAACGTCAAAGTCAACAGGGCCCATCGCTTGTTGGTCTTGGCGGTACCGAGTAATAGCAGTTAGAGTCATTGCGTCGAGACTAAGCGTCTCTGGATTGTAGAGAGCGTTGTCAGCTGCAGGGGCGTTGATATCCACGAGAGTAAGCTGCAAGCAACAGTCCTTGACATTTTTTCTACATAAAGGCCCTCACTCCGATCCGACAGCAAGCGTCTTCACCTCTCCAACTCGCAGAAACGCAACTAATGGTGTGAATGTATCGCTGTCAGGATATACAGGACGGTCAGTTGATGGTGGCCTCACAGACTCTAGGTGGAACCTGGCATGTGCATGTGGATTATTTGCAGGCATTTATGCTTCTATCTGATTGTGAGATCAAGCTGACCTTGACGCTCAGGGAAGCCAGGGGAAGTTTGACCCGTTTAAGAATACGCCAGTTAAACGTGGCCGTGCGCTTCGAGAAGAAATGCACATCCGTGTCGAAACTTTCGTACATGTCCACCAATTCGAAGTTCGTCATGAAAAGCTCAACACGAACTTTTAGGTCATTACGCTCGCCTGAAAGCCGGACAGCCAAAATACAGAAAATGCCGCCATAATACAGTATATTAGAGTGTGGTTTTTGCCAAACGACGGCAAGGGCAGAACCCTAGTTCTGATTCGGCTACACTCTTCAGGCAACATCCCAGCACTCCTAGTTTCTTCTTAAGAGCTGTTCCAATTCATCACTGTGCTGTTGTCTTAAACGCTGTTCACCTTCGGACTCGGTTGGGGAGGAGCTCACCTGAAGAACCTTTAAACACATTAATGTTCTCGACATTCCAAACGATGAAACGCAGCTCAAATTCTTCCTCACTCCCCAAATGGGCAATCGAAAGCTCTTCATAGGGATCCGTTTCGCCATGCTGAATGGCACGGAAGCAACACGTCAGCATCGAAGCACCTGCTGTAATTATGGGCGCCGGTTGTTACAGACTGCAACTACTACTACGAAAACGCAGAAGTGCAGGACTTGCCGGATGTCAAACACTAACGCAGAGATTATTAGAAATGTGCGTACGCGGGCATTTGTGTGGCCTTACCAAGTCGACAAAGTACCGAAGAGTCCCCTGGGATAAACCCAGTTCTCCTTCGCTCTCCCCTGTCTGCAGGGATTGAAACTCGATCGGAAAGTAGTGCAAAGGAGGGACGAATGTCTTCTTTCCCGGTCCAACCACAGGGCTGCAGTGCGCAAATGAAACTTACACCTAATTTCTAAACCCTAAAAGTCTGTTATCCCGACGGCATACACCACAGCATGGTGCTGCTGTCGCTGCGGCACGCTGCGAATTGGCAGTTGGAGCCGCCAGTGGCGTACCACATCTTTTGATATTGCGTTATCCGGGAAGCTCTTAGTGCTAGCCACCTGCAACGAGCAGAGCAACAGGCGCAAAGAAAGTCCCATTTGGCAAGCCCCTTGCACTCTGAAACAATGAACAGCCACCTTGTGACAACGGACGTAGGGACACCACAGTACCGCTCTTCCAGGTCGATTGAAACCATTCCAAGTGGCGAGTCGCTCTGCAGCACATCCCCTTTGTCCATGACAATAATTTTCAAAAGGGCCGGTCCAGGAATCAGCACTCGGAAGACAAAGTGCTCGTAGAAATTCGGATTGCAGTTACTGCAGAAACACGAAGCTAGCTAAATCTCTACGCAATACACTACCGAATTCTGCTGGCGGTGAGCGAGCACTCTGGGTAGCCAGATAGCCGGGCCACCTTAAAACCCCAAATATCTTTTAACTTGGAAGTGCGAAGCGACACAAGAAAGACAGTACGTGTAACCCCTCTGCCCACCGTGGATTCGCCGAGGGCGCATTTGCCCTCTAGCAGGCTCACCCATCAAATACTCGGTCTGATACGACAAGCTGCTGCCCGAGTTGTACCTTTAAGTACGGATCACTCATTCCTATTGCGTCCACATTTTGTAGGTTTCGTGCTGTCAAAACGTAGACATGCACCACCACCACTTCTTCCATCCAGCGGTGCATGGGGGGAGCAATAACCACTGGAGGGGGCGGATAGCCAGCAGTGGCGACTCCAGATGCTTCTGAAGCGACACTGGAAACTTTCTTTCTTCCTGGTGGTTGCAGGTGCTGTATCCGAGTCTCTATTGCTCTGTCGGCCGCAGCACCGCCTCTATCACCCTCTTGAGCAATGCTGAGGGTCTGTTCCATTGAAGTAATGTCTGTCACCCTTACCCATCCCTGAACAACACCACAAGGACCCCTAAACTGTCGAAGGATCATCGCAACCAATGCGGATCTCCTCCAAGCCACTTGGCCTACTGTGGCGTTCTTTGCAGCTTTGTACTGCCCAGCGCCTCACCTTAAGAACGGCTATTTTCTTCTTGTCCTCTCCCCAAACCATCGGGAGGGCTAAGTTGAGGGTAGGAAGCATTGCGAAACTGTCGAACCACAACAGGCTTTGGTTGCGGTCAAAATAGGTGTTTGTCTTCTTCAGCCGGCATACCAACTCGCCGCGTTGCACATCAAGTGCGTAGCTAAAGCCAGCCTTTGGATCATCACATGCTTCTCGTCTGTACCCACCACCCTGCAGCATTCCAAGCCCGCACACCCCCAAATGAAAAGCAATGTCCGCCGAGACTGGGTGCTGGCACTGGGTCTTGGACATGACAAAAATCTCCTAGACGTCTTCATTGCACCAATGGTAGCAATAGCAAGTGAGGAAAAGACGCACAACTTCGCGGAGCCTCGCCAGCTCGGTTTCGAGTTCGAAGATTTCCACCTCAAGTTCCTGCTGGTCAGCCTGTCCTGCCTGTGCGGTGCAGCAAGAAAAGCAAAGCGCATCCAGCAAATGAGATGAGGAGGCACGTTGGGAGATTCTGGGTTATACTAAGGGGTGATGGTATTGCCTCAATGCAGCCAGTGGGGCGTGTGTGCAAGAAGGGCAGGCTGGCCAATCGCTTGCCAGGTTGTCGAGTTCGCGTCCTCTGAGCTGAATCTTGAGGCGCTTCAGCTTCTGCTCCACGCATCTGCGCAAAGGAAGATGGAAAGAACAAAATACCAGCTGGGAACAATAAACCAGTGCACAGCGATTCAAATGCTGCATTTACTCGTCGTCGTGCGTCACGACCGGGGGATAGCAGAAGAATTTGGTGAGCCGATCAAGTAGGAATGCGTCAAAAACATTATAATGGCACAACCTACACTCTGTGGAAGTCCACGAAACTCTGGGTGATTGTATCGTAGATGTAGAATGCATTTTCATGGGGATATCTGCGGAAGCATTCAACAAGGATGAAGCACACCGCAAGTTGAGGGAGCCTTGACGAAGAGCAGTACATATATCTCTAGCTTTTCCATAGGACGGTTGTCCAGTTGAAAGCAGTGTGAATTAGAGTAGAAGGGTCAGGCTCACCGTATGTCTAGGCTAGGAACGCAAATGCGATGGTACTGCTTGTCAGCTGTCGTTCTAAAGATAAGCAAAAGGTCGCCTGCCCTGCCGAAGCGACCTTCCCCTCCGCTAGGTGAAGCCGACCAGACCACCACACCTAAAGGCGCAAATAGTAAGTATAGAGCGAATAACACGGTACGAAGGCAGCTTGCCATTTGTGTAGATGCATGCAAACCTCCTGCGTCTTTAGCTCGATGCAAAATTACTGCAGACTAAATGCAGTGTAAAGTGGGCGTTTCCCCTCAACATTACGCTGGACAAATCTGTCTATTCTCTGTCCAAAATTGCATCTTCTGGGAGAGCATATGCCCCATGCCTTGACTTGCCTTCTTGCCTGGTAAAGATGTTGACCATGTTGAACGTTGGCAACAATCTTCTCGGCAAGTACTTGTTCGCCGCAGATACTGGGTCACGGGATTCCACCGAGTCGTACTCAGACCGCATCAGCATCAGCCGAGCCAACAAGCACGAGCTGAGACAAGACAATCACATACAGCAGAGCTCCTCTCTAGCGTGGGGAATCTAAAGCAGAAAATGCCAAGAGCTCCTTTTCCACAACTGCATCCCGACTAGCCCCTACAAGGCATGCTACAGCTAAGAACCAACGACACTGGTGGCATCAAACAGTTTAGCCTGACTACCTTTCTTCATCCAGAGAAGCTTCATGGCCTCGCTTGCGGAGCCACGTGCGCGTTGCATGCCGGACTCGCTCATCCTCTTGATCTGAATTACCACAAACAGCACGCCACAAGCCATTCAGAAGGGGGTGCTGAGGTGCAGTCAGCTTTGGTTTTTCTCCAGAGACACAGGCTTTCGAGGACCCCAGTTGGACAGAGGAAGCAGCACGAGGAGACAAACGTCCCAAGCTGAAGCGTACTCGCCGCTGCTTTGTGGTCGAACTTTTGGACCGGCTTTGCCTGTTCTTCTTCTTCAGGGCGGAAGGTTTTCGAGGCCTCCACACTCCTCTTTTTGGAGCCGAGTCGGTCACCCCCGCTCTTGTCGCAGCTGCAACGACGCGTTTCCGAAAAGAAGTTGGCATACTCGACAGGGGTGGGGCCCGGATCCGACAGGTCGGCCTGAAGAGGGCACATGCAGCATAGCACTACTCCAATATAAGATGCACACAGAGTTTTCCAATCCATGCAACAATAGCAGCATATTGTTTATCTCTAAAGACAGTCACTCCAGCTAACGTGAAGGTTAGCAGATAGCAGGCTTTTTGAGACACCTGCATGATGGGCTCTACAAAGGGAATGTCCGCCTTTTCGCCACATCCGGCGAAGTAATCGTCAGCATTCAAGACGTGGGTGTGCACACGGCCCGCACTGTCGCGGACAAAAAACATATCGTGGTCCGTCAGCATTCGGCCCGCTCTGCAGTCGGAGTCGTAGATGAGTTCCCCTGTATGCTCGGTAAAGCATTCGACTAGAACGTCTACATCCGCCGTATTGACAAACGGCAAGTCGGGCATAATCCGTTGCTCCTGAATTAACACTAGCAAGTTAGCAAGGGAGGCATAAGCTCCAGGAATCGTCTCAGGGCAGAAGAAAATCTGAGTCTCCTGTCGACCACCGCAGTTACCCCTTTGGGTGCTTTCCTTCTGCAGTTGAGTAATCACTCGGGGTGGTGGAAAACGAAGGCTTCACAGGCACAAACAAACGTGCTAGATGTGGAGTTGCTGGGTAGGCTGAGGCCTTGTGGGACGCACCATCATTCCAACATCCATCATAGGCGGAGGAAGCCGAGCCAACAGAGGACTCTCGAGCTGCAACTTGAGACAGTGCTCTCCTTGGGGAACTTTTACAAACGAATTTAGCGCCAGTGACAACGTGCCCAGTTCCGCTCCGTCTCTATTTACCAGGCGAAAGCAAATGTCTGGTAATATTGCCTTTATACCGTGATTGCGCAAGATGCGGCCGCTGCCCCGACTGCTGAAAACAGCTTGAGACTCCATTTTTTTGCAGGAATCCTCAGTTGTTCCTCCCGTTGTTTCGTCCATGCCATCGCAAGACTTTGTAATTGCACGCTGCTTCATTCTTTCCATCTGATCCGATAGGTTGGATACTTCCGCCTGAATGTAGGGTAAGTACGGTGTGGCGAAGGAGGTAATAGACAACCGCGCCCCAACCCACTGGCCAGGTGCAGTGCTTGACTCTGCACAAGACAAAGACATAGAAACGCGGAGCATGAAGCGTTCTTCTTGGCGGCTCTAGATGTACAAAGTTGTAGGAGAGGTCCCAAATCACTGCAAAACACCAAAGGAGCCTTAGTGTGAACGCCTTCAAAATCTAAAGCTGCTGTGAATCTGCTGTATGAAGGGAGGGAGAAAAACAAGGCCAAGCACCCAGGAAAGAAGTCGTGCCACTGAAAGGTTTGCCAGCTCACCGACGGTGCGCCGTATTGGCAGTAAGACTTGACGCGACATCTTCCCTTCCTTCACATCAACAATTTCTACAAATACCTTCCGCCGCGTGTCCTATAACAGACCGATCCGCAAAAGGGTACTCACTGCATTTACATCCTGGCAAACAAAGCATTCACCTGTGCACCAGTACAGAGAGAGAAGCAATACCTGCAACAGTTTGCCTACCGGTTCGGTTTCGCTAAAGCGAGCCACCACATTGGGGCCTGGGAAGTCTGAGGAACTCAACGTTAGTTGCAAGTCTTTGGCGCTGCCTTGCCAGAAAGCAGAGACCTGAAGAACCAGTTCCGACCCTCCTTGCTCAATAGGCGAGTTCGGTAAACACCGAATGCCGAGCACGTCAACGTCAAAATGGTATTTCAACAGCGGGCAATTGGAAGCTTTCACGTATGCGGGGCTGTCCAGCGCGAGCACTGGCCACGGCGCTACTGGGGGGATAACCCATGCTTTGTCTTCGGCATCTGGATGACTTCGACAATCTGGCGTTGTGGCTGTATATTGACGCTGATTGGGGCTATTGTCATTCCCGTTCAAGGCAAACCCAACAGCTGCCAACAGCCGCGGCTTTGCATCCCATTCGAGGGTCGTAGCCATGCTTTCTTCTACTGCGGTGAACGTTGCCTTTTCTCTGTTCGCAAGAGAGTACCAAACCGCTTCGTGGGCATAGTTAACGTCTGTTACAGACTCCCTTAGCTGCTTTCCGTTGCCCAAACTTCCATGAAAGCCTTCAGGGTCCAACTTCTGCAAGGCCGCTCTATAACGCATGTCTAAATTGGCAGGGGACCACTCTATGACCAGGGCTATCATCTCCTTTGCTACTTCGCCGCCTTTTTCGATGTCGATGTCGAAAACACGCAGCAACACGGGGGGAGGCGGCAGCAGCAATTGGTTAAAGGGGGGGAGTCCATTGGCAAAGGCGACACTTTCAACATTTGTTTGAGGACTAAGATATAAATATATGGGGGCAACTGTCCGCTGCAGAAAAGCGGGGTTCAAGCTTGTTTTTAAGCAACTCATTTCCCGGTCAATATTTTGCTCGTCTACCATTTTAATGATCTGAAAAGGCGAATTAACACAGTCGAGACCAGAAGCACAGTGAACATACGCCATGGCTGCATCATGAATTAGAAAACGAACACTCCCGATGTTGCAACAGGTCTCCTTACGATCATACGGTAGTACGCACCTCCCCCTCAACCTCTAGGGACCACCAAGGATTTACGAGCGCATCATTGTCCATGGCCGGGAGACTCCTTGCCTGAAGAATGTCCCCGTGAAAAAATACCTTTTTGTAAAATGGTGACAGTTGAATTGCCGAAGCTGGAAGAGACCCTACTGTTCTCCGGCCACGATCATGACTATGATGTTCAGATTGTCCGTTTTCAGCAGGAAGGTAAAAAAGTGATTCACTTAACACTTTTCTCCCTATGTGACCGCAGCGGCGCTCCCGCGTGTCCACTCCGCAGAACACCGAAATGACTTCGGGTTCGGGAATTTCGTGTCTAGCCACCAAAGATTTATCGCTAGGAAGAATTCCATAACTCTCCTCCCTGCGCCGTTCAAGCAATCAAGTAGCTGACACACTCGGCAAGAAGGCAGCCCCTTCCACTCTAAGGCAGCAGCAAAACAAGGGATGTCGCCTTCGTTGGACGGCAGCAGGAGTGGTACGCCACTGTATGGCATCACAGAAAGCAACATGGATCGGCTCACCAGTCGGGTGCTTCCCCTTCGTGTCCTTGACTGAGGTTGTCAGGGCTACTTTGCGAGTCCCCTGACGCAGTGGAATCGTACCCTGGCGAGGGAGGTGTACTGTTTAAAACCGCCCGGGCAGAGGCGAGGAGACAAGCCGCAAAAGTTGACGGGAAACGACATTCCGGGAGAGGAGTAACTGACTGGTCCCAATGCATCTGCAAGCCACCAAACAGAGAAGGTTCACGAAGACAACAGCCGCAGAGTGAAGCAACCGATCCTAGCTTCATAGACAGGCTGCAGCGCTGAAGCTCCATGCATCAGGCCGGAAATAAAGGGAGTGCTGGCGGACCTGGATCCACTTCAGCGGCTCGATGACTACGCCGTCGTCGGAGGCGGCATCTGTGATGTGGTCCTGCACTGCGCTTGCCTCCCACGACATTTTTTGACAATGAGACACTGCAGGATGTAAGGAACCTTTCTGCTCAGCTTCTTGATCTGCACAGACAGTCGGCATGTACTCGACGAAATTATTTGGTTCTTGGCTGCAGCACGAGCCAAGCGAGGCCACTGCCGTCGCTTTTGCGGTTTATTTGGACACAATGCGAGCTCAGGCTGGAAAGAGCTCTGCGCCTTCTACCGCTCAAACTGTTTCAATTTGCGGTGTTGCCACGCAGTTTCGGATGATGAGGAAAGAAGGTACTTCTTGAAATTCGCCAACATCGTATGTTCTCACTGGATTGTATCGTTTGCTCCAGTTCCGAGTCACTATTGGCTTTCTCGTTGGCGAATGCTTCTGTGGGTGGCCACTCATTGACGTCCCCCGCTGTGCCATGTGTGTCCAGTGCAGCTTTTGTGCCTGCACTCAGGGTAAGAGGAATGCGACCAAAGACCTTGGGGGGCAGATGCTCCTCTCCCGCTGCGACCAGATATACGTAGGCATGCTGCACCTGAGGAAGGAGGAACACTGGTTCCGACTCGCGGAATACCCAAGCATTCATTAAGGAAAGCGGCAACTCAGCGAGGTCCTTCCAAACGGTGTCTGGCTCGGAGGCACCGGAGCTTAAGTAGCCACTCCCTTTCTTGTTGCTCGTGCTGGCCTCTTTGAGCGCCGTCGCCGTGTCGTGTTGCATTTGCCACCGCGGGGCTGTCCAATTGTACAACCGCAGGACGCCTTTGCTGTCTACGTATCCAGGAAACTCGAGAATATCTGCATTTGCCGGAGGAATTTCAGCCATTTCGCGGCACTTGCGGACGCCGCTGAGGCTACTTGTGAGGGGCACTGGTTTGGACACTCGGCGCTGAGAGAACAAACCCTTCCCAGGACCGACTCCCCCACCGGATGTTTCGAGCACACAGCCGGGCACTTGAATCAAGAGGCTGACCTCGCGTCCCCTGAAATGCACGAGCATATCCACCAGCAAATGGCGGAGTCGTCCATAGAAGCGCGTGGGTATTTGCATTCAGATATTGCAGACCGTAGTCTCCAAGGGATGCATGCAAATCTAAACGCAAAGGCAAACGAACATTTGCCAACAAACCCTCTCCGCCTGCTCCGTCCAACACGGCTCACCTGAATGTGTCTGGCAAGTAGAGCGCCCTGCCGATGGTCACCTGAATGTGCACAGAGACGCCCGACCGATCTGGGAATGGGGGCCAGTCTCTGCGCCGGGTTCGTTTCGTGTCAGCCAGGACGCAGAGACTGCCGCGGTACGTCGACGGTGGCTCCAAAGCCCCCTTGATCATGGCCGCGTTGTATTCTTCCCTCGCTCCGTTAATGGCTCCTCCAAACATGTGCAGCCATGTTGGCCGGTTCAGCGGTATTCGGTTCATTTGCGCCATACCAATGCGCTGTTTAAGGATTCCCGAACCAAACATAAAAGGAGTGTCCGAATCAAACAACTCAAAGGTCAGTCGGCGGCGGCGCCTGCAGTAAGGAGTCAATCACTCCGGGGACTCGTATGCTGTACATTTATCACAAACTACTGTACATTCATGCTGTGGTTGTGTAGTTGATGCTGTTGTTCTTGTGCTGGTATGGGACGTACCGATCTTTGCATACTTCAACGGTCATGCACTCCCACTCCACTTCCCTTTGGCGATTGTTCTGAACTGTCGTTGTCCAAGACGACTTCTGCGCCTTGAGATTGCCAGAGTTGATAACCACGAAGGGGTCACAGTCGTTCCACGGTTGGGCGTCGTAGTCCGCATCTGTTTTGGGTAGGAAGTCCGCGTATAAGTGCAGGTAAAGAGTCTGCAGTGAAGCCACAAAATCCCACAAAGCATGCCGCAACAAAATGGAGAAACACAAGTTGTGAGTTACATCACGATGAGTTCGAACAACCGTCTACCTTAATTTCAACGTTCGACCTTTGTCATTCAACAACACTATCGAATGCCCCCAACAGCGACATCGCCACATATATGGTGAGTTTGACGCAATTTGCTCATGGAGGCAATACAGAAGTTCCGACTGAGAAACTGGAGAGTCCAATCTATCTGCTCGAAGCTGTATTCTTGTTAGCACCGTAAAAGGATTGGCATCTCACCAATGCGTCTTTGGGGGGGTCGCCAGCGCCTGCAGGGTCTTCTTTTTTCGATTCCCCCGCAGGAGCCAAGGCGGCTTTTACAGCGGAGCCAATTGACCTAAGCGCACAACCCGCCAAGTCGACAAAATGACGATAACGAAGGCAACATAAGAAAGGGTATGTCGTCTTTAAACGGAGTTAATCAAGCGATGCCCACAGCAAGCAAACTATCCATACAGGGTCGCGAGGCGGGTGCGGGTTATTTACACTGGAGGCGGAAATCGCAGTATATTTACTCTCCTCAGAGGCTTTTCCCCTTCCGCAAAGACATCGATGTGCATCAGTAGCTGCATGAAAACCCGCGAAAGTGCACGTCAGTTTATTCGCTACAACTGCACCGAAGAGCTGCGTAACAACGACTTGCATCTGCAGGGGAAATAGACGGGGTATGCATTGTGGCTGTGGTACCTCTCCGCTTTTAACTCCTGTTTTGCTTGTAAGAATACACCGACCTGCCCAGGCACAGAGGCGGCGTTCGGTGCAGAATTCGCGGATTTCGTCCAGGGGCAACTGCCATGTAGCGAAAGTTCGGAACCCCTTCTGAAAGCAAAGGGGAGACATTTGGAGATATGTTCTGGCCTGCAGCGCACCCTGTGCTTGCAGCGATGCCTTGGTTTACGTTATTCACTCCCATATATAGGAGCTAGCCACCGAAGAGCTAGATGCCTCAACCAACCCCAGCACGAAAGGGAGGAAAGCAGCACAACTTGTTGCACTGAGTCGACTGGCAACCCAGGTCCACGCACCGGTGTTGAAGTTCCCCGGCTCCTTCGTTTGCTCTTTTTGGACCCTACGAGTACAGATGACAGCGCAAATTGCAGCAAGCAGGTGAGCAGTTTGTAGGTCACTTTTTAGCCAGTCCACTGTGCCCAGATATTACTGCCAGGGGTTGATGGCTGCACACCGAGATACTTGCCGCCCATGCTCGTGTGTAAGGTTGATGCATCTTCATTGTCCGGGGAGCCCTTCTCGTCTCCGAGCAGGCGGCTGCCCTTTGACTCGTGGTGCACTTTCGAACGGAACCGGCAGAGCCGCCCTTGGGAGTTTTCTCCTTCTGTACATTCTTGGGCGGATTCACCTTTGCTGGCGTTCGCATTCTCCGTCGCTGTGAGACTGGGGCTTTGGTCTGTGGGAGTGAGATCGCTCAAATATTCCTTGCGGGCCAATTCTATTTCGTCCGCCTGCACACAGGGACAGTATTACGAAGGAACATTCAGCTATTCCACCTAAACTGACGAGTACTTAGGCTCAGGCACGGGCAAAGTAGGCCTGCTGGTTAGTACTCAAGTAGGTTGTTTGCTTGCAGCAGCGCAGCGGAGCCTTGCAGGAAGGGAAAAGGCTGACGGTTGCATCTCGAAGCATCCACTCAACGACGATACGGAGCTGGACCAAATCCTCCAGTGTGACATCCTTCAAATGGAAGTCTGTTTGCCACCCCTGGAGAGAGGAAATACAAAACGAACCATACGGATATTGCATAGAGCCCTACGCAGCTGTTCTATATAAACAGAAGTAGGTGCTATTAACCCATAGAAGCTGTAGTCTTGCTCTTTATCTACAGAGATCGCTGTGTACTTGCACATCTCAGCTGGAAGAGGAAATAGGTTCTTGTTGCACGACTTACCACACCCGGAGGCCCATACAAATAACGGAGACCGTCGGGTATCCCGGGCTGGCTGATTGCCTTCTGGTGACCAACGGATAGCCGCAGTGCAGCCATTTTGTCCTCTGAAATGGATGGATGATCCGTCTGTGACAAACGTAGAGGCGGTGGCCCATGCAAGCAAAGCAGCTGTATACTGGCTCTCACATCTACTTTGCCGTTAGACTGAAAATGCCCGAAAGCTCCTTATTCATCGCTAAGGTACGAGCACGTGGCAGCGGCATTAAAGGGTTGCTAGCATCTGGGGTGGGCCGCTACTGGCCAGGTGATTACGCCTACTTGTAGGCAGCAACATCTGACGGTCATGCTCTGCGGCTGTTGTTTCTCGCCGGCCTCGTCGCCGAGGCGCCTCGCAAGCTCCACCAAGTCGGGTTGGTCTTCTAGCCTCTCCACCACATGGTAGAAAACAGTTATGCGGCTGTTTGGGGGTTTAGAAAAGAAGGGAGCTGGGACCGAAGAAAGCGGAATGGTTTCCTTTTTGAGCTTTGATGGGTTCCGAGTTATCTTCAGCTGGCATGAACCCAAGAAATCCCCCTGCATCCCCATGTCCTGGTCGTAGACACTTATGTGCAGCGTTCCATTTTCCTAATCAGTAGGGGGCACGCATATGGCACAGCAGATATAACCTACCTCGTTCGCCACCTGTGGATCCTTAGCGTGAAGTTCTACGCAAGTGAGGATACAGCTGACACCTCTTCTCACCTTGACTTCCGTTTCAAATGAATACTCCCATACAGGGTTCAGCGTGTTCATCTGGGGCGGTGAGCAGAAAGAGTGCCCTTCATAACGAATGCTGACATAAGGGTCAGAGGCCCCCGTTACGTCGCCTAAGGTATACACAACAACGGCGGTTAGAACACTTGTTGAGGAGAAGTGCTTATGCTGAAGGAGGTATGCATGCAATTCATGCAGACATCTCACTTGCCATGATATGGCATATGGCCATTTCACGGGGGGCACAACGCCCCTTCCAATGCAGACGTGAGTTGGGACCCACCTGCTGCAAGGTCATTTCCGCAGAGAACACACATACGTAGAAAGAGGGGCCCTTGCTTTGGTGGAGGAGCATTAACAAACTTTTCTTCTGGTTCCGCTTCCGTCGTCCCGCAGTTGAACAGCGCAGGCAATTCAAGACCTCGAGAGGGCTGCCGCTGCCCACCTCCTCCCAGCGTAGCCGCCAACAGCAGCGATGCCAGGTCTGCCATTTTTACGTGGCTCTACAGTATCAGAGTTGGAGAGTTGCTGCTGCCATACTGATCCTCCTATCTGTTGCCGCGACGAAGTCCACAGCACGCAATGGTATGCGGTTCTCTTCGTGAAGACTGCTCTACAGGTACGCCCATACCTTTACTGATGTGAGTCATTCAACACGCCTGCAGTCTGTGGGAGGTCTAAATTTAAGACTAGTAGCCTCGGGCGTTCAGGCTGGGGGCAAGTCGATCCTCGAGGCGGACAGACAACCGATGCCGCCCGTCGTCAATGTGCAGCACTACACTTGTCTAATAGCAAAGCTTCTGAGCTGAGATGTCTAGAAAGCCAGAAGCTGTACCTGTTGCTAGGGACCTGAAGAGCCTTCGGCGATAGAGGCCCTCGTTGGCGATAATTGGGGCCAGGCGGTCCACCGGTAGTAAACCGAAACGTATTACTGCTCCCCTTCCATAAACTAATAGGGAACAAAGATATAAACTCTAAACGCAGAGAGCGGGAGCTGAGGATAGAACAGGATCAGCAGTGGGGGGCCCACGACCTGAATGGTGACGTGCCGGTTGGCTGATAGTTTATCCTGCCGATTGCCCTTGGGTACGAATGTGTTGGTGACAAAGCACCATCACTCTATGGAATTCCAACAGTTTTTACATTTAGTTTTAAATTTTCATGATATCTTTTAAATTCGTGTATATCTCTAGGAAGTCGCTCTGGAGCCCCCATTGAGACCGCTGCGCTGGCGCCGTGGAGAGACGTTTTTGCACGCCTGGACCTGCAGACGACCACTAAGCTATTCGCATATCTTGCATGCAAGCCAGAATTCTGGAAATGCATCTTCAGGGAGTACACAAGCTGTACTGCACGCAGCTGTGCACAGTGGACAAACGGCGGTGGACCGGTACTAGAGGCCACTCAAAGAGTTCAGCTGAAACGAAAGAGAATCGTTGAACACCACATGGCTTTGTTTCATCCCCATAACAGTGTGATTTCAAGATTGAGTGTTGTGCCTGGGAGGTGTGGAAGAGCAAGCAATCAATGCTAAGCGTCAATGTTCAACGAAATCATCAATGACGGTTGCACATTCATCAGAGTGACGCAAGACGAACTGTGTTCTTCTCACGCATTGTCACATGCGTTTCAGCTGTTCGGAGTTCACGTGACTTCTAGATGCTTCCCCACCGGTCAGGAGCCAAACGGCACTTCAGCTTTGTAGTTGGGTGTTCGAGCTCTGTCTTCAGAGGCAATCACTGTGTTATGGGCATTTGAGTACAATATCCCCTAACTAAGGGGCCAGAAGGGACGGGTTAGGTTGTTCAAAAATGATTTGATACTGTTGCATTGCTGCCCCGAATGCTGACAATTTTAGGATGGGCGTCAGATGCCTGCCGGCACCAAGCACTCATGATTTGAAGCAGATACTTCACACATAATAGTGAATACGAGCTAAGGGAATCATATGTTGATCTTTTGACGCATGATAAGCCATGGCCCTCGTACAACCCGATACTTAAGGGGTGTGGTGTGCAGCACTTTTCGCTCAAGCACGATGTACTCCTATGAAAACGCAGCATTCAATGTAATCACCAAATCAAAGCCCTCAACGGACACAAAGCAATACATACTGCACGTTGTATGTAGAACGTAGAGCCCACTGCTGCCACAGGACCACTGTGTTTACCCCGTGTCTCAAGAATCAGCTAGTTCAGCGTAAAGGAACCATACCAGAAGAGGGAGAACCCAGCCTTTTTCTGTTGTGAAATCCCCGTTTTTCAGTGTATGGAGAGGCTGTACGTACAATGCCGGTCGCCGAGTGTACCGACAGCAGACGCAATTGAAAGCTGTGGTGGCCGGTCAGATTCATTATTTCTGATCTTTCCGACAGTGGTCGTTTTTTTCAGCTTGATTCCAGCTCTATCCGGATCGTTTTCCATTTCCAACGTTCGTGAAAATGCAGCTGTGGATGCAAGCACGGATGGCTTTTGATGGCCACATGGCCATGCGCGGCAAACTGCAAGGCCACCTGCAGACTGCATTACAGGTCAGTCTAAATCATCCCATCAACAAAAATGGCGGTGTACTATTTAGAATGTCAGGTGGCGTTGTACTTGTCGTCGTGTGGGGCAGCCGCATGTTTCGCTTCAGCGGCCTTCGCTTCCTCTTGCCCTGAATGCATCAGTAAGGCACTGAACTGGAAATGTTCCGAATGAACCTTCCTTATTTTCGTTCTTAGAATTCGCAAAGTTGCTGGGAGGCCTTCTCATTGCGGTAGGCACAACAACAAATACGTCGTCGAAGCTCCTAGAATGCCAGTTCAGACTGGGCTTTGTGCCGGACTAATGGCGTACGCCAGAAATGAAGGTGCCAGCACGGAAAGCAAAATTATCATGCATCCTTGGTGAGTATGATACCAACGAAAAGTTAGAATTAAGAACACCGCGCTTTCCTACAGGTCCATTAAGGAACTTGTTGAGGTCAGCGGGCTTCCAAAAACCATCAATTCTTCCGTGTCTCAGTTCACAAAACAGGTTTCTCTAACATCCGGCACTGTGACGATTGGGTAGGGCCGATTGCAAAATACGAACTCCCTATTGATTCGACAAGCACTTTCAGAGTTATTGATATCTTGCTCGTGAGCTGAAACATCCTGTCAGCAAAAATTCCGTGGCGCAATGCCTGCGCAGGTCTACACCTACCACATCTTACTTATACTTGATGCTGCCGTTGCGTTATCTGGGGGGATACTTCTAGCAGAGTCTGTGGTACGAACAATAAAATAAACCAAAGTGAAACATGAACAATGAACACAATGGTGTAGGCGTGCTTGAAGAGTGACGCGGTGCTCTACTGGACTCTCTCTGCTGCATGCGGTGGTAACTCATGAGCACACGCCGCACGGTGGAACGAAAAAACATGAGCAATCTTCAGTCGTCCTCGTTGGGCTCATTGCATTTCTCGTGATGGTTTTCGCCAACATGCCATACAGTGAGGACAGCCCAAAACTACGTTACGCCAGCCAGTAGCGATATTTCAAACGTCGACAGGCGTGATGGAGTACACAAAGGTCTACACCGACAACTTCGGGGGCGCCATTGCTTCCGCTGGAAAACACATCAAGGCAAAAATACGAGCCCCGCAGCGCACCTAAGCCGCAGCCAGCTGGCCATGCACTGCCCTGCTTGGTTGTCTGGAAGACGCCATCGGGGGCTAACAGCTCACTGCGTTATTTTGAAGTCGAATGCTTCGTTTCTTCCTCGCATAAATCGGGCATGCGACTGTCCTGACGTTCATAAATGTTGTCAATCTCTGCGGGATCTAGAAACTTCGCTGGACTAGTCTTAGGTTTCGCTTGGCTGGCCTGCGTTTGCGAAAATGCTTTGCCTTGAATAGGTGCGCCAGTTGCAGGGTCTGCAAAGGGGGCCTCCGGGGGTCTGCCGGGCGCAGGATCAATAAAAACAGTGAACTTCAATGAGAGACAGATCCGGACACCAGTGGACTAGCCAAAGTAGACCCACCTGGTTGATGGAGGGACGACAACGACCTCTGGGTTGTTTTTCGAATGATCCTTTCCCGATTCCATCGTAGTGCTCACTCAATCGCAAGCAAAACGCAAGATGGTGGGCCTCTTGCCTAGATATTTCCAGGCAGCTCAATGGTGAGCCAACTCACGAAGATCGCCACACGCAAACGCCGAGGAGGGCAAATATCACCCAACGAGAAAGCAAACACATTGCAATATAACTAACTTCGAAATGCTGAAAAGAAACACGGGCATTCAAGCCACTTCAGATATCCTGTTCTGCTTTCCAAGAACGGCTTCCTACGCCCGAGTGCATGCATTGCTAAAGCCTCCGCAAACCGAACGAAACAGGGGCACCCAAGCCCCCTTAATTCCAACAAAAGTGTATTTCAACTAGAAAATCCTTCGATTTTCCTGGGCATTTGAAGTATTAGGCTTTTTTACCGAGCCCCTCTCCACAATGCCGACGGGAAACCAGGTACGCTTCAGTCCCCCACGGGCAAATCATGCATTTGTGTGCTTCTCGTATCATGCTGCAGATGAAAATTATCTGTCTTAAACCCGTTCCTACTTCCTCTGTTCGTACTCTTCAGCGGATACTCCATGGCCCAGTTTTTGTTGAGTGGCCTTTTGTTTTGTTGGGTCGCGGAATTCTACATGTCCCAGTTCCCCTGGGGCAATCCGTGTAGCGGTATCCCATATGCAGAAATATATTTAAGATAGACAACGGCAGCCAGTGTTTTAAACTGTTTCGTACTGGATGCGACATGACAGCTGAGGTTATCTCCATTAGTGGGGAAGGGGCGAGGAGGACCTGTCGTTTGGTTCGCGTGCATGCAAGCAGCGCATAGCTAACTTACTTTGAAAACGTGGTGCTGGTGAAGCGTATGCACTGTGGGAAATCAATATTAATGCTGGATAGTTTGCAGGCGGTAACTACAGTGGCATGCCATAATAACCTGCAATACACAACGGCCAGCAGCATCGGGTGTGGTGAGCGCTGCTGGCTTTTTCGATGATGACTCGAAGTATCAGAATGAAGTGGCTGCTGCCTTTGTTCAGGGAGGCAAGAAGAAGCCTTTGAAGGCGCCCAAGAAGGATTCGATTGAGTTTGAAGAGGACAAAGATTTCAAGCAGAAGCAAGCTCAAATTAAGAAGTACGTCGAGCGGCGAGTGGACTCAACACGCAATTATTACATTAACCCCATTCTGCTGTTTGTTCATGCGTTGCGTTACTGTGTACTGGGTGTTTTAGGGAGGAAGAAGCAGCAAGGAAGGCTCTGCTAGCAAAGGCGGCGGCTAAGAAGAAGTGAAGGCAGACAGCGGCACAACTGCCATGTTTACAGATGCGTTTTTGACTGACTTTTGAGCTCTGAAAACCTTTAGACTCTACCGGCTTTCTTCTGATGAACTTGTCCAGCATAGCTGTGACGCGTTTGAATTTTTTCCACAGCTGATCGCATCTAGTGTAATATAAATACTCAGGCCTTCGGATGAGTCACTACTTACTTAGAGAGTTAAACGCTTAATAGTAAAGATGTGCATTTTGTCTCATCAGCAGATAAGAAATGACAGAGCGTTCGAATAGGCATTGATTGCACCTTCTCAAGTCAATGACACCGCCAGGGTATATATAAGGACCCCGTGAGAGAGGTTTATGCATCATGCACCTCTTAACCTAGCAACCACAGTCTATTATTATTTATGGGTTTACGGTTCCTGTGTATACTTTTCCTTCAAGAGCGTTGGACCGTTGGCTGTGTCAGTGCTTCACAGCAGTTCCAGCGGCGTGCGTTTTCTACTTTATGCCCTGTCGTAAACTGCAAGTTCCAATTCGTGTGTTCACTTATATTATTGTGAAGTCATGGAGATAGATACACTAGAGGTGTCTCAGTGTGCTCTCACTTGATTCACAAGAGTATCTGCACAGTAAAGCATAGAAAGGCGGCGGAAGTACGCAATAAACCTGTCTCTTACCTCTAATGCCGAGCATTATATGCGATGTATATATATATATATATATATATATATA